ATTCTTGCCGGTAATTGAACTGCATACAATGCCTTCTGACGGTAGCCGTCCCCAAACACGATATATGCGGCAGTTTTAACAAAAACAACATGACTTTGTGACGCTATTGGTAAACGCTATATAATTCTTGACCCAGTTTTCTCTGCTACGGTTCTGGTACATGCAGTATTAAGAATTGCACGAGTTTTACACTCTGAGAGCAGCCGTTTACAGTCAATAGCAAATGTGATTAAAATTTCGTGATCACCATCATCCTTGTTAGATGATTTTTCTTTATCCGCTTCTCCATTTTGTTCTCTGTCGGGGCATTTGCGAACCCAGTGAAAGCGAGAGCCACAAATTCCACAGGTTGTCACTCTTCCCGACTTGTCTGCGGGTTTTTTCAGTTTTGGCTTCAAACCTGGGTTTTTTCGCCTTGTTATGAGCAGGTTTTTGATAATGTTTTCGTTTGTATGTATGTAGACTTTCACCCTCCTGGTTCAAAGGGTATGTCCTCTCCCCTGACCATGGACGTGGTGCATATCCTTAGGTGCCTTGCTAAGTTTGACGCGGATTTCCTCTCGTTACATCTCGGACATATAGTCCATTTCTGTTTGTATACGCGGGGTTGATGTTGTTGTTCATTTGCTTCTTGTTCTGGTACCCGGTTTCCCTTGCAGTTCTGTCTTTTGTGGCGTGCCATGTTTCGGGCCTGTAGGGTTCTGTCGCATCTGCCACATGTCTTGGTTCCATCTTCATTGTTCCTGTCTCCCTCGCATGTCTTCTTGTGGTTTTTTTCCGAGTTTTCAGATTTGAAGATAGCTCCGCATTTGTTGCATGCAAAAGTCACCCTCGCCTCTTTGTGCATCCTTTTGATATGGATTCTCAGGCCGCCCTGGTTTTTGAAATCCCTCTCACATATTTCACACGTGTTCGATGTTGCTTGGGGGGTATAGGAGTTCCTTTCTGTCGTTTCACCGTTTTGTCTTTTCGCATTTGACTTTTCCCATTTATGCAGGTGCTCCATTCGTGCTTTCACCAATCGCCTCCATCCTTTTCTGTCCTGAGTCAGTTTGTCTATCTCGTTCACATCCATTCCCGCTTCTCTGATGAGCTTCCGCCAGTAGAGTAGTGTTTTGTCTTTTTTTCCCGGACATTTCGGTAGGGTTTGCAGATCGTTTAGCCACCCTAGACAAGCTGCTTTAGTCAATCTTTTGTCGTCCATTCTCATTACATGGCCTATTCGTTTTAGAGTTCTTCCTTCAACTTTCCATCGGATCGTCTTGATGTTCAGTTGGTTTCTGATGTCCTGCATATTCACTCCTTTTTCTTGCATTTCAATTAATGGCGGCTTCGACTTTGAGCTCCAGACGTGCCTATAGCACCGGTCGATCCAACTTTGCAAAGACTGTAACTCCGAGTTTTTCCATGTCCTTACGTTGGCGTCAAACAATAAGCCGCTTTCTACGCAGCATTGGACAACTCTAGCCTCGATTCTTTTCGGCAGCCTGCTCTTTGTCAGCCGCCGCTTGACCTTTGCCCATAGTCCTCCTGCTCGTCTTTTTCTGTTCTCAATGTCTTCTTTTGCCCCGATCCACACTCCTAGCATTCTGATGTCACCTGCTCCGTCCTTTCCGAATTCTAGTTTCTCTTCTTTCTCTTCGTTGTTTTTTTCCTCGAAGTTCTTCATAACTTCTTTTATTGTTGCTGTTCCAGACTCTATTTCTTCCTTCTCGCCGATGGGGGTGGTGTCGTCTGCGAACAGGGACAATGATCTTCGTGCGGTTTGGGTTTCACTGTTGTGCGTTTCTACCATGTTTTTTCCTGGGAAGCGGTTTCCCGGCATCCACGTCCACGCTATCCCGACGTTTGTACCTTTCTCCTCGGCTCTGTCTAGTCTGGCTTTCTCAGCTTGCCGCATTACCACTTGGTGGTATATGTTAAACAATGAAGGCGAAGATGGGCAACCTTCTCTTAACCCTCTTTTGGGGGTCCATTCTTCGCTGTCGCCCTCTTTGCCCTTTATACTATAGGTTGTGGCTTCATGCAAATCCATCAGTGTGTCCAGAAACGGGCGTTCCATCGCGTAGCGCCTTAAGACCGCCCACAGGACCGGCTTGCTGACCCGCGGATAAGCTTTTGTTAGGTCTAAAAGTCTGGCTTCTGGGTCTGTGTTGGCTTCTACTGAGATTCCGGCTCTTATCCTCCGTCTCCTGAGATCTTCCACGTCCTCTCTTATCCTTATGAAGATCTGGCTTGCGTCTGCCATGGACCTGCCTGGTCGAAACCCGCTTTGGTTTTCGTCCAATACCTGGAATTCTTCGCTCCATGTTCTCAGGCGGTTTGCGATCACTCTGGCTAGAATTCTACTAGCCATTGAGAGCAGGCACACACCTCGGAAATTGTTGGCGTCATTTATGTTCCCTTTTTTTGTGCAATGGTACTATTTGGCCTTTCTTTAGAGACTCTTCCCACAGGTCTGCTCGGGTCGTGAACATTCTCATCACCAGGTGGATGACTTTCTCCCTCCATTTCCAGTATGCGTTGCGAATGTATACCATGCGGACCCCGTCCTTGCCTGGCGCCGATTCTCTCACCTCATCCAGTGCTTCCATGATTTCTTTCTCGGACGGAAGGGTGTTCAGCTTCTGGTTGGCTGTTATGAACTTGACGTCTTTGCTTTTATCTGGCATCTGTTTGACTGTGTTCATCAAAGTACCCGGGTCGTTCTCATATCGGTCCTTCGATACGTTGCTGAAGTGGGCCTTGAATTCGTCGGTAGAGATAGTGGTGCCTGTCTGGTGTTTCTGTGATCTTGTTCCCAGTTTCCTTAAAGTTTTGTACATGGTACCCATGTCCCCTTTCTCCGCTGCGTTTTCGCACTCGATGATGATTTCGTCCCACCATAGTCTTTCTAGTTGTCGTAGGCGTTTCTTCATCTTCTTGCGTGCGGCTACCAGTCTTCCTCTTGATGCCGTTAGGGCATCGGCAAGCATGCCATGTGATTCTCCAAGTGTTTGGTTGATCAGCTCGTTTCTGCGCATTACTTCTGTTGAGATTTCCGTGTGTAGGCTTTTCAGTTCTTCTTCGTATCCCACTGTCCACGGGTTGGCTATCTGTCGTTTCTTGTTGAGTTTTTCTTGTTGGGTTTTTTCAGTTTTGGCTTCAAACCTGGGTTTTTTCGCCTTGTTATGAGCAAGTTTCTGATACTGTTTTCTCGTTGAAAATGCAGCTCCATCTTCCTCATCATCTGCAGTCGCAGCAAAAGCGGATTCATCATTTGTAACTCTCAAAACGTCAGAACTTGCACTCCAATTTACACCAATTATACGTCTCAAAGCGGCTTTCATCTGCAAATATTTCAACTTGTTGGCATTAGCCAAGACTATCCAACGCTCGGATAGCTCAAGACACGCTCCATGGAGCAATTTACATGCCAGAACGCTATCTGGGAGCTCCATACCATGACGTTTGATACTATAGTAATTTCGTTCAAAATCCTGTATATACTGAGGAACAACGCCATCAGAAGACCTTCTCATGGACTCAAAAAGCTCGTACGCTTCCTACTTGTTGGTCGACAATTTCTGTTCCGAAAACGTCCTTCAGCTTGACAAGAAGTTGGTCTAAACCATCGTCAGCACCCAATTGAGCAATCGGGATTTCGAGAGCAACATCTCTGCGTCTTCTTTGCAAAGAAAGAACCCAATTGAGCAATCGGGATTTCGAGAGCAACATCTCTGCGTCTTCTTTGCAAAGAAAGAGCAACTGCTGGACCTTTTTTCTTCACCGTAAGGTTTGTAACTGCTTGCCAAACTTTAACTTCATTCAACCAGAAGTCAAATGGCACATCTGCGCCTCACGCAGGCGGTGACTTGAAAGAGGCCATCAGAATGCTTCTCCTGCTACCATGAAAACAGTTGACTTCGTACAGAAGATATTATTAATCCAACTCAATCTGGAACAACAAGCATGACATTAATTAACAACCTTTCGATTGACACCTTTCGTTCACACCTTTTGATTGAGTTTTAGTTTCGTCACGTTCAGGAATTGCTAGAACAAAGAGTCTTGGCTCGTTCACAGAGAAAACTCGCAATATCGATAACTTTGTCAGCTACTAAGCGGACGGGGGTATAGTCGGCGTTATATAGTAGTAAAGGTCGTTACCGCCAATGAAGAGGATTATTGTATCAAACAGGTCTTTCGGGGGAGATAGTCGTAAAAGTCATATGCACTTGCACCAGATAGCGATAGGATATTCAGATTTCCAGCTTGCAGGTGCCTCGCTTGGGAGTCTGCAATTAGGAGATACTTTGAGAATGAGGTTTTGAAGAGATGATATCTGCTTCTTGGGATAGGCATGCAAAATCTTGTCACTAAAATCCCTCCATTGAGGGCCTTCCACAAGATTTGTAATTTCATATCATATAAAAATATTTAATAATTGATAAGTACATTGTATATATTGTACAATTGTCAAGAAAACAATTGATAAGTAACTATATATTTTTTCTATTCCTTCAAGCTTGCAAACATAGCCAACTGACAGATGTAAACGAAAAATGAACGCAAGGAAACCAAAAAACGTCGTTTTTTTTCCAAAAAATTTTGAATTTGAAAGAAAAAATAGATGGTCCTGAAGCTGTTTGAATTTGTGGTAAAATTTATGATTAACACTTTTATGTTTAAATTAACCCAATTTGAGATAACGGGATTAATAGGCAAAGCTTTAAATTTGCTGGGAAATCTGATAAATAATTTCCATTTTCGAAATTAGAAGTCGATCACGTTTTTCGTGACCTTTACAATTTTGCTGCTCGATAGTAGAGTTCGCCTTCCTTTTAAAGAAACAAAATCACTGAACTTATAAAGAAATCACCTACAAAGAAAGTAAAACCGCGAGAAACCGAAAATGATCGTGAACAAATTTTAAGACTTTTTTCCTGAAAAAAAAACAGCCAAGACCTATCTATATAAGAGTACTCACTACGTTCATTACTCTTAAAAAATTAACTAACCATTGTCTAATGAGAATAACAGGACATCGCTGCCTTTGAAGTATGGTATCAAAATGAGGAATCCAATGCCGGCGATCAAGCCAGGAAAGATGTATGTCGCAAAGATCCGTCTTGATTGATTAATCAAATGAAACCACAGCAAGGCGAATATGTGCCGAGCATTGATTCCCTGAACACAACTCCAACTCATTACAACTGAAAAAGAAATCAGAACAATTTTTGCGCTAATTTTTGATTTCACGAAGATGAATGACCACTTACTCGAAGTTTGTACACTCTGTTTGTACACTTTGGATTGTACGTTTATTGTTTTTCCTTTTTTAGACTGATGATGATTGTAATCAATCGAAAACGTTCTGTTAACCAACATTGATTGTTTTTCCTGAGCAACTTACTCGAAGGTCCATTCCCCCGAAAATTATAAAGTGCCACTCACCCGAAACCAAAAACGTCCTTTACCCAAAAATTAACCCTAAACCTAAAAACCCATTCAATGAAAAACTTAACACGAGAGAGATCACCCAAATTTTACACCCATTTTGGCCCGTAGAGGACAGAAACATCTCATAATCGGAAAATAATTAGTTTCGCGTTGAGTGATTCTTACCTTTTTTCGATGAGAGGGCCATTTTACACAGAGGCAAGGCTGAGCTTCGCACCACTTGCGATACAGCAAATAATGTGCCATTCGACCAAAATGCCGCCAAAAAATGGTTCGACGAAACCAATTTTATGATTCGATGAAACGAATTTTATTTCATGGTAGTTGGATCGTTCGGAATGGCAGTTTCGACGATTACGATCCAAATTGTCAAAAGGAGCGAATTAGGACGATTTGATTTGGATCGAAGCGCTCATCTCGCTTTGAGCGTGCATGACAAAACGATTGAACGTTTTAGTGGATAAGCTGTAATAATTGGACAATTTGGCGAATTAGGAATGGTCAGTTTGGCGAGACGTAATAAATTTTAAAAATTCTTTTCGAAATAAAGACACGCCACGACCTTGAAATTTCGCTACAACTGAAAATAAGAAAAAAAACAGAACAACAATATTCGTTGAAACAGACAAGCCGAAAGAGAAATAGCAACGAACGAAGGAATTCCAGTGATTGACGTTGACGGAAGTGTGACATTCGACCAGAATGGACACAAATGCAATTTCGAATTCAAAGCCGCTGTGTAACAGTCGCCTACTTCGGTCACATATGAGGCTTAAGAAAAATAGGCCCTATAACCATTGGCTCAAGAGTCAGGGACACTATCTCTTGTGTTTTTCTACCTCAAGAACGGTCGGAGCCGATTCGGTTCGCTTGCGACATGAGACTAGAACCCGTTACAGCTTAAAGGCTACTACCAAAATATCCCCCACTCTAGAAAATAAGAACGCTCCCATACTTAGGTCTCGAAATACCCACAAGACAAGAACGCCGTTAAAAACAGAAAAAGAAGAAAGAACACTTGAATTACTATACAATAAAGAGCCGAGGCATCAGTGTAGCAAAGTGTAAATAATAAAATTGGTTATAAATTCATTGGTTACATCAAACAAAAACAAAACATCAGAAAACAAGCAATAAAAAAAAACAAAATCGGTTACAGTTCGGAAATTGGTTGATTAAAACAGGGTCGGAACAATCCGTTAAGTTACTTTTTATTGGACAGAGGAACTTTGATCCATTTCAGATGGATCAACCCAAAACTCGCCTTATCTCAACATAACAATCATAAAACACACTCGAGAAAACTAAATTTGGAACTCACATGTCGACAAACTCGAGAATAAGGAGTAATTAAATTGATGAGCAACTCGAGAATTAAATAAGATAACTTGATAAGTTCAATACTAATCAGTTTTAACAAAAGACATAAGTTAAGACTCTAGAATTGAAGTTTTAGTCTGAACCATTGGGACACTCCAGCTGTCCACCTTTCCGTTAAAGGTTCACTCTGGTTCAGTTCGAATAATTGCACTCCTCTCGTGATTATCTCGCCTCCTATTTCAGGATAAGACGGCTCTACTCGTGTCTTATTTTGTATCTGGAAATTGCGAATAGCAAAATCCTGCTGTTTTCTTAAGTATTTTCCCGCAATTGTAAATTCGGTCGTTCTGATTTTACACTTTGTGTTTTCAGTTGTCGCGAGAAAACTGAGCATGACAGGCTCCATTCGAAATTTTGAAAAATAAAACTTCACTCCAAAATCACGTATTTTCGTGTCCCTCAAGGTCAAACTTCCAGATATGACCGACTGGCACATACTCCACGGACTCAAGAACGATGTCCTCATCGCGTGCTGCCTCTGTCAGTGAATCCCCAGAAACCCGAGTGTCACTCAAGATACAGTGCCAGTGGTCATTTACAGAAGTTTTTAGCAGACTTAAGTTTATCTACCTTCCAAAATTCACAACCAAATAAAATTTTCACACTATCGTTAAACAGCAATCAAAATCTGCACACACCTGCACCATTGAATTTTCGCTTTTTATGCTAGTAATTTAAAATTTCTTTTGTCCTATTCAATCAGGAAATTGTCTTGCAGTATTTTGATTTATACTATAGATATAACATATTAATAACAATATCTCATTTGTTAAAATTTCTTTTTCGTGAACCTAGATTTCATCCAAGTTCACCCTCGAGCCCCTTTCCTTCCCGCTCAAGACTCAAGACTCTAGAATTCCTCATTGAGCCACCTGCTCATCTCGCGTTCATTGCCTTCGAGGTACCAGACCCAGACGTATTTGACACCGTAATCTGCTTCAACAGTGCCTCTTCGTCATCGGAGCTAATCACGATCTTTTCCCAGGCTTTCAGCTGTTCATAGGACCGCATCCATTCCCTTTGCTCCTTCAATCTCTTTGCTTGGTTGGGCAAACTCTTCACCCTCGACTCTCGGTTCAAACAGAAGGAATTGTGCAGACTCAGGCTCACGTTCTTCGCCAAGTCTTCCTCCAGTATCGACTCTCTCGCCTGGGTATTGTTTCATGACACTCTACCAATTCTTTGCCACCCCGTCGTGATCGCATTTCGATGGGTCAGCAGAGGTCTCTTGAAGGCATCTGTTCCTATCTCTGCCTGGAACTGTCGATATTCCTTTTGATGTTTCCTCATGTGATCCTTCGTCACCACGTATAACCAGGACGTTAACGTCGCGCGAAACCAAGGAAAGAACCTCAAGCGGCTCCACATGTGTCTGACTTCCATTGGTAGGGCAAATACCTTGAATGCGGTCTCGAACAACTCAAGTCTCCTGCTGTAATCTATCGCGTGAATCGACTCTGCCGTTGGCGTCTTCGATTTCCGATACTTTGCTATATTTTCTTCAATCCATCGTAGAGCCAGCATCGTGCTCACCATTAAGATGGTCACCTTTTGCTGATGATCGGGCAGTCCCAACGACCTGATTTCTTCCACATCCCAGATCAGGCAGAGATTGGCGTGGTCTGGGTACCACACTGTCTGCGCCAGACAGTGGCATGGACAATCCCCGTGTGTGAGGTCGATGCTCCTAAGATTGCGTTCTCCCGAGGCTTCTAGGAGAGGCTCAAGTTCCATCAGTTTCTCGTGTATCACGTCGATCTCTTCCAAGTTTGGAGCACCAACCATGGGTTTCCCGATCACGTTTTGTCTCTCGTGGTCACTTGTATTTTCGCCCTCCAAACCTAGAAGTTCTTCACCCCAGATTTCACTCAAGTCGTCCCTCTGTTCTTTCGGCACTGTTCCTCGGATCTTCCTCATCAGCTTGTGTGAATGATGCGACATCCGAGCCAGTCTTACGCATTTGGGCACTGAGAAGGCTTTGTCTATCAATACCCTCTGGCTGGATACTTCTACCATCGCCATGTGTAATGGATAGTGGCTGCCACATAGGTTGGCCATCACTGACCCCACTAGGGACTTCGCATTTAGAGGCAGACCATAGGCTTCGCTCATGGGAAATCCCATCTCCGCTTCGAGTCCAACTTTCCAACTCTTGATGTGTTTCTGGGTCACTTGCAACACTCCGAGCCATGACTCCACGCTCAACGCGGTCACCAAGTGGTGTTCTGACTCTAGCCTCTCCAGTGACTGGAGACTGCCCATTCTTGAGAAGAATCCCAGAGCTGTTGCTAGGTTCACCGTGGTACTCGCGTAACACTCAGACACTATCTGTATCTCACTCTTCTCCCTTTCGGTAATATCTTCAAACCAGGTGACTAGGTCTTCTTTCTGGAAAGACTGTATCCTGACGCATGATCGTCCATCGCAGGTGTGCTCGCCATTCCCACACGTCGAGTCAAGACAACTGCCCGGCTCCATTTTCTTTACCGACCCTGTCCCACTCGTCACCTCACTTGACTCTTTCACATGAGGCAGGATCAGTCTATGTACTATACTCAAGGTCGCCAAATCTTCATCCTCTGTCGGCGCTAGTCTCACTCGCTCCGTGACTTCCTCGATCAGGCTCGCATGGGGATGTGGACACCAGGAGGGCCTGAGCAATTTCCACACCACTCCCAGATTCGTGGTCAACATGCCGTTCCCGTTACTCATTTTTAGTTCGACTCTTTTACTTGAGCGCGGCACACTTATTACTTCCGGTGTTTTCTCGAGAATCAAAACTAGGCTAGGTCTCTCTCTCTCCACAGTGTCTATCTCCATTATCTTCTCTGTCCAGAACTTCAGCAGCTCCGCCACCTCGTAGTTTCTGTGGGCACCTCCAGCTTCCAAGTCCAAGAAAGGGTTGTATGCCATCCCCATCACTCCAGACGCGTACTGGTACTCTCCCTTTTTGTTGGGTTTCAAGTACTCTCCTGACGAATCCAAGTTACGGTGTACGTCGTGTTTCTCCTCGAACTTCTTGTTGTAGAATCTCCGTATCCCATCTAACTTCCTGTGGCTCTCTAGAGACTGCCTAGAACCATCCTCCTTTTCTATCCCAGTACTCTGGTACACGTTCAAGATGACTGCGGAGACTCTCCTTTCCAGCGTCTTGCTTCCAACTGCTCTCTGGTGACATGCTAGGATGGTACTATCAGTCACCATCGACATTGTCCACCTCAAGAAACAGGTAGCATCTCTCCTCCTTGCCAGACTCAAGCCTGAGTTATCCCTAGCAACGTTCTTGCCTCCTAATTTCAACTTATCGTACGAAAACAGTGTCTCTAACTCTTTTCCCAACAGGCTCCACGCGAACATCAGTTGTCCTGC